ATATATAGATGTGTATGTATTTATATAGATATATATATATATGAAAGCATAGCTACAACAGCTTTTGCTTTGAGGATTTAGTTATTCTTTTTAGATGCAATGGCAGCTCCATAATATATTCAACCAATCAATTGCATTGTCATCTGCATACATGCTCTGCCATTCAGGGTGAGTGCATTCGACCATATCTACTTGCTACACAAAGGCAAGAGCACAATGAAGAGCACCTCGTCCTTTTTTTCCTCTCCAACATATACAACACAATCAAGCTTGATCAGGTCACCGAGGGAACTTGTGTACTACTCATCCTGGATAATGTTGAGTTCTGCTCTGGTTTGATTGCCAGGGTAGGCCTTTACTAGATGGAATTGTGAAGTACTGCCTGTCCTGCTCTGGTTTGATTGGTTGTCCTGATTGCAATCGAACTGGAATCCTGTATGGCACTGGCTTTCTCCTGCCTGGCCTCTGTCCCTCCTCTAATCCACTGCTTATGCTCAGTCCATAACCAGAGGATGGCAAAATATCAGTGCTGCTTGGTAATACCGCAGTAGATGAATCATCTAGATGTAATGAACCTCCTTGCTCCTCATGCAATTGTAGCATTCTTTAACCTGCAGACAAGCAAAGGTAGCAAAGTTGTTTTTTTAGTTCTATCACCACACTAGATGAGCAACACAGGTTTAAAGATTTTTCATTTTGCCTGGAGCTAGCAGTTTGAGGCTGCATTATCCGATACTAGCACAATACCCATTGATCTCTAACTGAACTATTGAAGATTTAGTAGCGTTATGGTTAATGTAGGTTCAAGGTTTTGACAAGGATGGGATAAAAAAATCAATATTCACGGTCCTTTTATTTTTGATTTTTGTTTTACTTTCCTTTGTAAGTCAACAAATCGATGCAGTACTCTTTTAAGACTAAGGCTCCACCAGAAGGGAGACTGCAACGTATTCTGCTGGCTTCACAATGTATTGCCTGTCCACTTGCATGTTTCTCTTGCCATGTATGTTTTTCCATGTGTGAACCTGTCAAGGTTTGCACAAGGCAACACCTCCCTGTCACCTGAGGAATTGCATCTGTGGTGGCGTTTTGGAAAGTAGATGAACAACATCATCACTGGTGTTCTTACCATCCTTTACCTTAAGTGTGCCAAGCCAAAAGTAGCTTATGCTGACACCTTTAGCTTGATCACGATACAAAAATAATCACAAATGGATCTTTTTGTAATATGAATCCTCCTGGCTTTTAAGTAGAATCAAAGGAATCAAGTCTGATATGATATCCGTCTACACCACCAGCTTTCTGCACAATAATATTACAAAATGAGTGATTGCTGATGTCCTGGCTGTCTGACTAGGGCAATGATTGGGGACTGACCGTGGGCCTGTCTAAGGGACATTTTTTTGTTAAAAAGCCTGCATTGTCCCTTGACTGCCAGAGGGAATGAAAGCATGGCCCTCTATTCTGGTTGGCAGACAGTGGGGTAGTCTCTAGGCTAACCTCGCTGATCCCAGTGATACCTAAGAGAGTGCATCACAGGAAGATGGCATGAATGTCCTCCATACACGGCAATTCTAATAATGACAGTATTACCTTTGAGGACAGACTATAAAATGAAAAGTCATGGCCATAACTTCTCTGGGGACAGATAACTCAAAGCAAAAGTGGGGCTACTGCTGTCTAAATGTCAGTGTCACAGCATGGGGTGTAGTGACTGGGCTTTAGACGCTACATTTATAGAGCCCCATCATTGGACAAGGCCTTTAGATCCATTAGTTACTTGAAAGTTAGTGGATGAGGAACTTTTTATGGGAAGCAGCATCTATGGGGTTGAATAGGCTAATCCTGATTTACTAGGCATATGTGCACATATCAGTAACTAAACACTGGTATATATATTCAAATTAGACAAAAACGTCCTGTGTGTGGTGTTGCATTGTGAGTGCTTTTGTGGACTCACCCCTTAGAAAATATGTTAATTCATTTCTATGTGTACCACATATTGTGTGCGTTCCCTGAGTGTTTGTATCTGTCTACTTTCCGCACAGGATGTATGTGTGTTAGTGATGTTAATATGTAGTTTTCATTGTTTGTGTGTGTGCCGGGCATAAGTTGTGGGTGATCCCTGTCATAATACTTAAAATGTAATTCAGTGTCTTCGATTTGCATTTTCTCTACGATGAAGTATACTTCATTGTGTGCATTTTTAGCACATGTGTGCGTTCACATGTAAGTAAGGAGTCAGTTAGTGCTTACTCATGTTTCTCAACCGCCCCGCAAAAGAAAAGAAAAAAGATACAAGAAGCAAAAGAAACATTTTCCTTTCCTGGTTGGTGTGTATGCTAATCTTGTTTTTATGCAAATGTGCCAACACGATTTGTATGTCTAAGTGCCTCATTTTCCATTCAGTGTCGATATAAATATCCTCAGCCGCTCCTTTGATGGGATATTGGTTGCTGTGTTATGTTCCGTTTATTATTTCATTTTCCCCCCCACTCCTCTGATGTTTTCTGACGTGGTTCTGGAGGGCTGTCGGGCCACTCCTGGGATTGCCTGAATGCGATCACACCAAATTCAAAAAGACTGGGAATGTGGGGGTGTTAGCAAGGAGACATAAAAGTGTTTAATGAACTTCGTGTGGTTGACTTTTTAAAATAATGTTCCTTTTTTATTTCTTCTTTGATTTAATTTGGGGTAGAATTTGTTTGTTTGATTTGTTGATCTCTTTGCTACTGGATTCAAGCTTTGTATTCTCTCTAGCCCATTAAACAAACACATATAGTAAAATACACACACACACACACACACACACACACACACACACACACACACACACTAATCAGGACTGAAGTAATTTCAACTTTCAATCCAATCACTGAAATCACAATTTTATACGTCAAATACTAAAACAATAATAACTAAATTGATGCTCTCAATATAAATAATGTTGCCAATAGGTTTGCTCTAAAATCAAAGAACTCCATTAGTTAAAATTGGAGTATACATACACAGGCACAGTGAATTTTCCACCCTGATGTTTAGAAATTACTGATTTATCCGGAAGATGTTCAAATGAAATGTTTTTACCACAGATCCTCTGTTTCATACTGATGCATTTACTTGCAATCACAAACATACACATAATCATAATTGCACTCAGGCATAACCCAGCACATATTGTTTCAAAGGTTCTCCCAGAGTTTCCTGACGCCGGGAGAGTGCTGCCGGCATACTTGATTTTCGTTTGCCAGAAATTTCTATTCTGCTTTTTACAATTTATTTGTTTGTGCACACGTTAGGACTTAGAAGTACGGGTGTGTTGTGAGTGTGGGTGGATATGTCTCCAGGCACATCTGCATGCGTGTGTGTTCGTCTGCAAGAGTTAGGGAACATCAAAGAAAAGTAGCTTGGTCAGAAAACCAATGGAGTGAAAATGGACATTTTTTTTCTCCTCGTTTTTTCATGGGTAAAACTCTTAAATTAAGGTGAAACAGATAATCAATTTTAAGTAATGGTCTGGCACTTTACAAAGCAAACTAGGCAGTAATTGGTCCGGCAAATTAACTTTTTTTTTTTTTTTTTTTCAGAATATGCTGTGAAGTAGAAGGCGTTCATGCCCCTAACTGGGCAAAGTGAAGTACTACCCCTAGTGTTGTTCTATTTAGCTACTGCTCATTTGCCACAGATTCAGTGACATTTAAAACACGGAGTGGCACAATGGTGCATTATGAATACAGTATGTCTGGGTCAGCGCGTAGTCAAACGCTGCAACATCACACTTCCAATAATCATTCAACCAAGAGACTGAGGGCGCATGCAAGGATGCTGTCATGAAATCGTGGCAGAATCATGCAGATGGCAAAAACACAAATATACACACACACACACATAGCCTATTACATAAAATTCTGAATAATGCAACCATACTGCGCTATGACCTCAGATGAAATTGCTGGTAATGATGGTAATGATTAGGATCAATATGATTCATGTTCTACACTGCATTCGCAAAAGCTAGAAATAAGTCATCAAAAGTTAATATCTTCATACAGAATGCATCATTATATCAGATAATTGCATATAGATTTTAAAGACGTGTATGGAAGTCATACATCCTTATTATGCTTATGCTTATTGATAATGGTGATGCGCATGTGTGCTCTGCTAAATGTGTATGGATTTGTTTAAATGAAGGAGGTCGAGCATGGACATTTTATCTTCTCTTATCTGAGCTTACTTGCATTCGGATCAGAAACCCGGGTCAGAGTAAGTGAGTCTGTGCTATTTGTGCATTTTTCAGCTACAAAATTTGAATCTAACTCTCACAGATCTGAATTTCTGGAGGTCATGAACTTGATTTTGTGACCGGTTGTTATGAGACACAGATATGTCACTTTGTGGTTTGATCACCAGTGATCAGTTTGTTGTTTAATTCTTTTTTCTGTGCTTGCTGCTGTAAACATGCTCTTTTCAACCTCCCTCTGCGACTACAACCCTGATGGCAAGCAACTCCCTTTTAATGTGCACAGATGATAGTTGTTTGTGTCAAGAGAAAATATAAGTGACACAATTGCTCTGTGCTTCTTTGTTTATGACTGGAAATATTACTCTGCGGATTTACCTTGTCACCAAAAGGTGGTGTAATACAATCCTAATCCCAGTATCTGAAGACATTTTTATCATGATTCATGTTTAATTTGCTTATCTGCTTTTACCCTTCTTGCCATATCCAATTGCTATTTTCTCCTTTTAATGTGTCTTCGTCCCAAAGCTGCCTCAAGCTTGATTTTATTGGCTAATTGATTGGCTTTGCGCAGTCAGACTTCGGATACACCTGTATTGGGTCTGAGAGATGAAGATTTGATTTGGATGAATAAGTAATGCCCTACAAGCAATCTTGTAGTGTTATTGTTAAAAAAAAAAAAAATTATTGGAGTTTGTTGTATCAAGTTGCCTCTGTCTCCTGAGAAGGTTTTGCAATTTGGGATAAGATACCTCCAAGAAATCCATTTGCACTTTGAGGGTGCCGGTTATATTTTTCATCATGATTTATTAAATTGAATATTTTGGAAAGAGGTCTTGTTTTAAGTTTTGTACCAATGTATTTTGGTTGACGTGCTTCAGCACATAACATTTCCCATGATCCTGCATTAAAATACAGCATTTCAAATAGCTAACAACTGTTCCACTGACACAACTTTCCAAGCCGGTGTTACTAAATTGCAATTTCAAAGCTCACAAATCTTTATTTGGTGGCTGTGACTGTTGCACCATGAAATAGTCCATTTAAAATAAATGAAATTGGGACTGGTTGTTTGTTGTTGGCTACAGTATTAAACCAAATTAAACCTCAACCCAAACAATACTTAAAGTTGAGAACTGTGTTGCCAGTTGTTAATCCATTACTTATTAAATTGTTAAGGTGCAACAAGAGACTGACATACAATTATGCTACCCCAGTCGATGCTATTTGGTTATTTAGTCTTAGTTCTTTCCATAACTTTTGTAACTTGTGTTTTTTTTAGGGAAATGTACTTTAAAATGATTGTTAAACAGCATATCCTTTTGAGGTATGTTTACCATATTAGGTATTAGCAGGCTAACTTTAGCTTTGGCAGTTGGTTAACTTAGCTATGCAACACTTGTACCTGACAGTTAGTAGGCATGCATATTCAACTACTAATCTCAGAGTAAGAATTTATTTGTGTGGTGGAACCCTGTTAAATTAAATTAAATTTAGTGGTGTGTAAATCTCAACTTAATACTTTTAACACGGCTTTTGTGAGTTTTAATTTAAGAACAGCTAGTGCAACTGACTCCAATTTAGCAAGGCTATAGCAAGTGAGCTTACTTGACAGATAATTTCGTTAAAATTAACAGTAAAGCAACAAAATACGACACAAATGCTTTTGCTGTTTTTCTCTGCAACATATAACAGCTTTGTACAGAAGCTAAAAACACACTGATACCATGTTTTGCTGAATTTAAGGATATATCACTGTTTATGTGTTCCTCATATCTCCGTACTTTTTAATACCACCGTCTTCTTCTTCTCTCTGAGCCTTCTACTCCTGCTCCTCTGAGCCTTCCTTCACAGAGTAGACTTAATTATTTATCGCCATGATTTATTTAGCTTTGCTCAACACAGGAGCAGCAATCTCCATCCTGCTGTCTCCAACTTTCTCTCCCTCCCTCCCTCTGTACCTCCCCATCTCTACATCTTGCTTTCTATCTTTCTTCCAGCATCTCTCCAAATCCTCTCCTCTCCTCTCTCTTTCCTCCATCTCTTTCAACATAGCTTAATCTCCTCTAGTCTCTGACTGAACACGTCTGTTTTCCAAATAACCTGCTCCATTTCTTGGCCTCTGCATTTTTTATTCCAAAGTCTTTCAAACTTTATGAGCCCACATATGTTTGTGTTCTTTCAAATCTGTTTATGATCTCACACATCCATCTGTTTTTATTCTCTTCGACGTTCAATAAACAATCAATGTCTTTTGTATTATTTCTGTCATTATTCCCTCTAATCTCAAATCAGACATGTCCAGATTATTCAAGCAATTATTTGTGGCACAATCTGCCAGTGTCACATGCCTCAAACACGGATAGACATATTTGTCCAAGAACTTGCTCTGAGTGAAGCCATGTTCATTATCTGCAAAGTGTTTGTGCAACTCCACTGCTCATTTACTGTATTTGCATGTATTTTATTTCCATATGTTGGTGAAATGTACAGTAAAGATGAAATAACAGGGAAGGAAGAAAGATGATGAATATTTGTAATACTTGAATTGGTGTTTTATGTCATTGGAGTCTTTGGATATTTTGGTTCACTCTATATAATTATTGAAAGCTCTAATAATTTCAGAAGCAAACTAAACGCATTCATTTCATGACCTGGGCTGCATGACTTCAAATGCCGAATGTCCATTCCTAATTCATGTAGCAACATAGCATCATGTAGCAACATATCATTGTCACGGTTTCTTTTCCATTGGAACTGGAATGGTTTTGTGGAGTTCAGAAGGTAACTTCATTCATGTTGTTGTTTTTTCAAGGAATGTGCTCAGATTCATTTATTATCTCATGTTTCTCTCATTCTCTAACCCTCTTGCCTGCGATTGGATGCTCCAACCCCTCCCTCCCTCATTCCTCATCCCCATGTTGTGCGTTTGTGGGCATTTGCAGTGCATGGGCTGTGGGAGGAGTGGTCGCTATGGAGTCTGTGCTCCGTGACCTGTGGGAGGGGCTCCAGGACGCGAACCAGGAAGTGTGTGAACGAAGGCATGGCCGTGGCTTGTGGACAGCCCGAGGTTCAGACCAAACTCTGCAACATAGCAGTGTGTCCTGGTTAGTACCATCCCCATCTACATGATACACCCAGTCTCTCACTCGTTGCCTCTCCGCCTACTCATTCATGACTATTTCTGTTTTCTTCCAAACCACAAGAATCAAAACCAAATACAACTGGGTTACTGTTAAAGCTCTTGAATGTACATGCACATGCAATTATAGTTTGTGTTCTTCCAATAAAGCATTGTTAGGGGAGACAGTGATGTCAAAATACATCAAAATAAAATTCCATATCCACACCAATACAAATTCAGCTAAACTAAATCACTTTATTTTCTGCTGTAATGTATGGACAAAGACTTCATCACCAGCCCCCTTTTCTTATGTGTTTCAATAATTTTTAGTTGGACTTAGCAATGTTAGCGGCCTAGGCTGAAATATCTCAACAATGATTAGGTTAATTGCCATAATATGTTGTACAGACTATCATGGTTCCAACAGGCTGAAACCCAGATATGTTACTGATTACCCTGATTTTTTCTCCAGCATTTGTTGTTTTGACTTTGATTATTGAAAAAAATATTGGATAGATTGCCATAAACTTTGGCAAGATGTTCATGTCCTCCCTCAGGATAAGTTGTAAAAACTGTGGTTATCCGTTTCTCATCATCAGATTAAAATATGTCCAGTACTTTTGTTTATGGCCAAATACCTGAAAAATCAATGACCTTCCCATCAACTTCAGATGTACTTTGTGTTTGGTGAAAATTATCGAATGTTGGCATTCTAAACTAAGATAGTAAATATGGTAAACATTTGCCTGCTAAAGCATATTAGCATTGACATTGTGAGCATGTTAGCCTGCTGACATTAGCATTTAGCTCAATGCTCAACCAGGCTGTTTACCATCAGTCTTTGTTACAGTTTGCTATCTTCTTCTCCTTATTTCTATTTTGTCTGATGTTTTTAGGAAGGAGTTATCCACTATCTGTTTGTACCTTGTTTTCGTTGTTAATAAAAACATATACATATAGCTAATTTAGGCTAACGTGTGACAATGTTCAGAAGGGGAGTAACCAACTTGGAATAATGCATGAACACTTCTAATCCTAAATATTGGAACGTATTTCTGTTTTTCTCACTTCCATATTGATCTCTGGTAAGCCATGGGATTCTCAGCCATTTTTTTTCACTCAGCCACCCTGAGGGGTCGTAACCAGGTAAAGCCCTTTGGTTGGACTTTCCGGCTTCCTCCATGGTTGGCTTGGTTTACATTGCTGAGCAGTCCTGCAGTGAAGCTCTTAAGCTATTGTCTCTGAGATTACCTGTTAGGCCTATACCTATACCTTGTCAAGAACAGGAATAAGTCACTGGAGCAGCCCCATCTAATTCTCTTGTCAATTGTACCTGAGGACTTTATTCCAATCTGGCTCAGACTGTCCAGCCGAAACATCTTTATCAGGCTGCATCGGAGTGGAAAAGGACAGCCCAGCGATTGAAATAACATCTCAATAGAGCAGACTGTCAAGAGACAGCCGGGGAGGTTTTGACCCATGACTACCGCAGCCTATCACAGAGCAGCTTTCTGGGTGAAGATGTCAACTCATCTACTAAGATGTAAATACTAGCCAACCTCATTCTGAGCGACTCATTAGATACATGGTGGAGTTTGGGGCGACCGTGGCTCACTGGCTTAAGAGGGTTTTCTGGTAACCGCAGGGTCAACGGTTCACGACTGGGACGTGCCACGTGTCGAAGTGTCCCTGAGCAAGACACTGAACCCCCGGCTCCCCAGACGCCTGTCATTGGCAGCCCACTCCTCCCTATATACAGGGATGGGTTAAATGCAGAGGTCAAATTTCGTGTATGTGTATATGTATATGACAATGAAAGGGTTTTGTTAAATCTTGCCCAAACGAAAAAGCCTTTTTTAAACTTAAAGTATACTTGAGGCATATTCATTGCCACTGCACGATTTTAATTTTGTATTTCAAGTGTCCCTTTAGAAAACCACTTACTTTGAAAGCATTAACATTAGAAGGGAGTATTTATTTCAGTGATTTAATTTGATACATGGTTTCTGCGTTGGCAGAATGTAAATGGATTCTCCATAGCATTGGGATAATGGCATTAATGGATGCACAGACACTAAAACACAAGACAGTTTATAACACAATTGGTGGCTGCTTTCTGAACAACAACCTTTTTATTTCCTGAATTGATTTCAGGTTGAGTGAGAGTGTGTGCTTGTATAGTATGTAATCCCTCACAGGCTGAGCAATTATCACAGGGTAAGTGCTTTTTATTTATTGCTGCTAAGGTATCCTGTATATACAGTATATTTATGTGAATGATGTTGGAGCCTGTATGGGCTAAAGCCTTTTTGTGTTCTCACGCTTCCGACTAATATTTATTTATTTATTGAGCTTTTTTTTTTTAGTTTTAATGTTTTTCAAAGCAATAGTTTTATACGGTTCATATTTAAATAAAACAAAAACATCCCCATTGCCAGACAAAGAGGCTGCAAAGTTATGTCTCAAAGAGGGAGGAATAGGGAGACGTCGTAATCCGAAGTATGGCCTCCGGGATGTTTTGCCATGCTGTTCTGGGAACAGGGATAGAAAGAGAGATTTTGGGAGAAAGGAGAGGCTCTTCCTTCAAGGGCCTTAAGGAAATCTTTGTATGTGTGTCCTCATATGGTTTATGTGTTTATGTATGAGGGTTTGAATCTATCACAACAAATACAGCGTGCTTTTGGGAGTTCAAAGGCAGTGGGACTTTGGAATACCAGCATAGGCCTCTTGGCAGAAACGGCCATCTATAGAAAATAGAGCTTTGATGGATCTAATGTGTTTGTGTGTGTGTGTGTGTGTGTGTGTGTGTGTGTGTGTGTGTGTGTGTGTGTGCGTGCGCATGCATGTGCATGTATGTACGTGTCAGTGATTGGATCTCACTGCAAACAATATACTCAGACTTTTAACTGGCTAATACTGTCTATAGTACAGTGTGTTAAATTCATGTACAAATTTTACTCTTACTCTCAATATTGTTTTTTTCAATCTTGCTTCACAGTGGCTTGTCGCTTATGTAGACACGTGTGAACACATCAAACAAATACTTGCACACGTGGGCAGAGCTTAATAATGTTAATATGGCAGCTATTGTATTGAACAAAGGCAATCAACAGGCAAAGAGTAAAAAGAAATGTCATACCTGAGTAATTAATTTGATTTTATCAGATCTTTTGAAAGGCTGACTGAAAGGCACTCATGTGAAGGAGGGGAGCTGGTCGGGAATTGCCTTCATCCCTGTATGTTTATTTTTTTCTCGCAATATTAACAGTCAAGTTGTAGCTAAGCATATCAGATCTTTTTTTATGTTATTTTGCTACTTTTTGTTCTACACACATTGCAAAAGCTTCTTACAATCACCACTAATTTCTACAAAATCTTTGCATGTTTTACAGTGTTTTCACAATGATGGAAAGAGGAGGAGATGGTTTGTTCTTCTTTGGGAAGCTGTTCCAGACTTGTCACTTTAGTTACTCAGAATTAGACTTGGGGAAATGTCACGTTCACACTTGCATTCGAGCTCACTCATGCTCACCCAGCTCATTCTGTAAATGTCATCCCCAACACAGTGCTGTTCCCAGCACAGTAACAGCAGCACACAGCGTGATTGACCACATTACCAAGGAGAGTTGGCAATGCTTTCCCACTTGGGGAGAACCAGACAAATACATTTACACCACTGTATTTCACTTTATCTTTTACTTAAAGCCCCTGTGTGTAGGTTAGAATGTGTGCTTCAATATATAATTTTTAGCCCCAAAAAAGAACAGTTCTCACTTTGAATTGATATTCTTGTTCATATGGGAAACAAATAGGCAAATAAATAGACTAATAGGCTACTACAGTCCTACAGAACGTACACAATGGCTTGCAAGGCTGCAATCACAGGTTCCGTCTTTTATATATGATCATTAAATGTTCGCATTGCCTTAGCTAACATTCATTCCATACATTTTCAAAAATACTTAGCTTTAACTATGAGCAAGATTTATACATTATTCATTTCTATTCAGCATAGATTAGTCACTATACACAGGTCTACATCGGGTCAGCATGACTGTAGGTTACATTAAATTAAATTGAATAAAACTTGTAATCAGAGTTTAAGGCACCACTAATTAATAATTGAACTAATGGCTTTGTGCGATGTGAAAAATGTTGCTTCTTGTGATATACCCACAGAGAATTCTCACCCAACTCTGCACTGTAAAGTGTTTTACTGTATTTTAGTTCACTGTTTTACTTTTACAGCTTTACTGTTTTTATTCAGTCCCATTTTCATCGACCTCCGACCTCCAGCAGAGAGCAACTGTTTTAAGCAAAACTGTTCTGATAAAACCACTGGAAGCTACTTCCCCAGCACTTAACAGCAAACAGATAAAGTAGCAACCAGCAGGTGAACACTTATTTCATTTTATCTTATTTAACCATTTAGCCATGATCATCCCAGTGATATTTAGAATCTCTTTTACAAGGCGGTCTTGACCAAGATGGCAGCGTAAAAGTTTCACCACATAAAAACACAGATAGAAAACTTAATTACAACATAAATAATAAATAAATGCACTTAAAAAATGTTGCGGGTCTTCGTAATGATGCACCTAATTTGATCTGAGGTTGCAGCTACTGTTATTGGTGTCAGTAAAGAACATGGATAAGAAAGCAGTGTAATAGGCCCTTCAACAAAAATGTAACAATGTTCCATACAACGGTTCTATAAGTAGTGCAAACCAACTGTTTCATACATACTGCACTGATGTGTGCGGAAACCCGAATTAGAGATGAATCGTAACGCAGCATGACTACGCAGCATGACTTGTTTCCATAGTTAACACCTCATTACAAATTACATTACAATACACTTGACATGCTGTTTAAAAGACAATTTGTCTTTAAGCAACAAAATGTGTGCATGTGTTGGATTTAATTTTTTTTTTCTTTTTTTTTAAACATAAGTGACAGTGCTGCTAACAGAAGGAGGCATTGCACCGTTACTCAACTCAAAATGATTACCTCTAGGAATGTGTGTTTGGTTCACAGGAGTAAGGACAAGCAATTTATCTCAGAATAACAACTGACTATTCAGTGCAATTAAAGTTACATAACCTAGAGCGTGATTGGTCTGAAAACTTTACAATAAAAACAGCATTTACGAAATGGTTCTTTAAAGACATATGAGCAGGTAAAACACAATTAGATACCACCCCCTTAAGACAACCAACTGAAGTAATAGTGTGGTTGAACAATAGTAACCCTGAGGCATTATCAAGCTGCTATTCAGGATACAGGGGTGCTTTTGTTAGCATGTTGCCTAGAATCTCAAAGGACAGGATTTAAGTATTTTCAAACCAGTAGCAACAATTATAAATTGCAACAATATATTAAGACCCTTTGTTCAACAGTATTCTGAAATACAAATAGCCATGATCACAGGTCAGTAATTGGTTTCTCTGTCAAGTTTTTTGTATCAAAGAACTTAAATCAAAAATATGTGGAATGAATTAAAAGAACTCACTGAGTTTATTTATCACAGATTTCCATATGCTGTCGTACATTTTCAAAGCAGAACATTGTGTTCTTTCTGTGACACAGATCCTCAGAATTGTCTTATAACCAGCTTTGAAGTTGATAACATACCAAAAAGCATTGCCTGCACTCACTATAAATGATTAATCTCCCTGTTTTTTATTATCACATTTTTTTGGGAGTTTGCATATTTCATTCGACAACTCAATTACACCAGCAATGCTCCCTTATTAAAGGGGACATTGGGGGCTTTGATTACACCTGGGCGTGTCATCAGGCTTTGGTTAAGCTATTTGGTATTCATGCATCATCTGACAGGCAGTGCTGGATTGTATTGATATTGTGTTTTTTTCCTTTGTCTGTTTCTGCACAAACACCAGTCAAGAGAAATCTGAAATCTGGTGCCTTTCTAATAACACTTTGAATGGAAATCTAACATCTGTACTCTGTTTGAACTCTTTAAAACACAGCAGGAAAGGAATTGTAATCAGCTTTCATAACAGTTTGAAATATTTCAAATGTCCAGAGGAACATGAAACGTGCTATTTTTGGAAAAGCAAATATCCTCTGTAATTTATTTATATTCTGTTCACTTGTAGCCTACTCACTTTCTCTGTCCTGTCTTTTCTCCCTTTGCACCTTTCTTTTCCCCTTACATCCTCTTTGCTATCCTTCATGAATCTGGATCAATTGATCCCGATTTCCCTGTATGCCCCAACATATTCTTCCCGCCACTTTCATCCATTTCCCTGTCTCTCCATATCCACTTCCATCTCTCCCTCCCTCTGTCCAGTGGAGGGCCAGTGGTTGGAGTGGGGGCTGTGGTCGAGATGCAGTGTGACTTGTAACGCAGGAACCCAGCAGAGGCAGCGACGCTGCAGTGCATCGGTGCACGGCTGGGCTGAATGTAAGGGCCCCCATCAGGAGAGCAGAGATTGCACCAATCCTTCCTGCAGTGGTAAGTCGTAGAAAATAATGCTTAGCATTCACACTCACGTGCTCTGGAACGACATTATGCAAATATGCAACAGGCATTATCGAAAGGCATTGGTATTTATTTTTTTCCCTGATTCGTGTATTCCAGCAATTTATGGGTTGATTTGGCTTGTGAGTCTGTTTTGACAGCGAACCTCCGGAGGACAGAAATACTGTGTTTTATTAATAAGCGAGATTATTTACGTCTCATGCTATTCAAAAATTGAAAAGATTTAGAAATTGCTGCCTTGTATCGTACATTTGGTATTCATCAACAACTCCCATTATTAATTTTTTTACCTTACTTGCTGGTCTCGTTCCCTCTCACCCTTCTTCCCCGCTCCCCAAACTTCCCCGGCGGTGCTTTCTTCCTGTTCTAGGTGGAGGTAACTGGGGCAGCTGGAACCACTGGAGTCTCTGCAGCAAGACATGTGACTCCGGTTGGCAGCGTCGCTTCAGGATGTGTGACGGCACCGGACAACAGGGCTACCCCTGCGATGGCTCGGGAGAGGAGGTCCGGTCCTGTAATGACAAGAAGTGCCCTGGTCAGTGACTCAGTGAATGTGTGTGTGTGTGTGTGTGTGTGTGTGTGTGAGCTGAGAAAATAAGCCCATTATATGTATGCTGATGTACATATCATTGATGCTTGAAAACTCTGTATCACCACTTCTTTTGCCTTCGACGTTTAGTTTCCTGCGTGGGTGGATTTCTCTGCATGCCTCTCCTAGTTGGTCTCCTAGTTGAAGAGAGAAGCGTGCGTGTATCTGTGTGAGCCCAATCTGCACATGCACAGTATTTATCAGGCAGAATGGAAGTGATTCCCAGTGGTTCGCACCACAGCCAAAGGCTTCTATCGCAATTTTAGAACTGCCTTCTTCTCATTTTTATGCGCCTCTTGTCTGTCTTTTCATCAATTCACCTACCCATCCGTCTTTACCTCGTTATTGATTTTGCATGTCCGCGCCTTGTCGCGCTCTCCTTGCATCCTCTCAGTTTACCTAAGAGATACTCCGATTCTCCTTATATCTCTCCTCTTTAACAGTGTTTTTATCGCGCTCACTGTCTTGCGCTTGCTTGCACTATTTCTGTGTTTCTCTGCCTGTTAGTGGGAGAGACGGCTAATGTCAGAGTGTCAGCAGCTGCAGGAAATAGTGTGGTTTAATAAGCATACCTCTTGACTGAAATTGTGTGCGCATGTGAATGTGCAAGTGTATGTTCTGTACAAGCCTGAATGCCACATGTGTACGTGGTTGCTTTGAGCTCTGACAGGCTACAAATGATAAACCTCTGAGTGCAGCCTCCACCATGACCCCTTTGTTTTGAGTAGCTCCCGAAACCTCTTTTACACAAGACGAGGATCTTGTCTGTTGGCATTTCAGGGGAACATCATATCATATTTTCTCTCTTTCAGCGTCTCTCTCTCTCTTTTTCTTCCTCTCTCTTCCCTCTCCGTCCCTCTTCATCTCTCTGCATCGCCGCTGCCAACACTCGTCTGGCCCCTCGGAATATCTTCAGAGTGCTCTCCCCCATTTTTTTTCATCAGGGTTATGAAAGAGAGGGAGGGGGGGAAAATAGATGAATAAAGAGAGGGGGTAAGATGAAGAGGGAATGAGATACTGTACTGAGGCAGTGACACTGACAGAGAGCACTGGGCAATGTACAAGGGAATAAGATTGGGAGCTGCTGCAGGAGAACATTGATTTGAATCTTGTTTTTTGTGCTTCTCAGACTCCCTTTTTTTTCGCTGCTACGTATCTCTGTGGGAGTTTGTGCGTGGTGATTTTTCTTATTTTCTTCGTGCCTGCTAGACTGTGCTACATTTCACTTTTTCGATGTATTTCTCACCTACCTCTACAGCTCCTCATGAGATATGTAAAGAAGATCACCTTCTCACTATGTCATGGAAGAGAGCCTCAGCTGGAGAAACTGTCTACAACAAGTGTCCAACTAACGCCACTGGTCAGTCGCATGATATGCTTTTGCCAAAATCTGGTAGCTGTAAGCGTATTTCAAGTCTTTAGTAAAAAATCAGAGGTGATGTTAAACAATACAACAGTGTTGGCAGTTTATAAAATACACAAACCAGTCATAAGGTAGAATTAGACAATGTGTAACAGGCACAAAAAAATGTCCCACATGACTAACAGAAGTCGTCAGCGCTCATGTTGGCACTCAGTAGTTAGCACTCAGTAGTTAGCACTCTGTAGTTAGCACTCAGTAGTTAGCACTCAGTAGTTAGCATAAGCAACAGCTACAGAACGAGAAAATAAAGAACCTATAGAAACGCAATGGCATTCTTAAACAAAAGAAAACCCACAGGAAGAAAAAATAGAAAATGTCCAATAGACGTTAAACGTGTCAAACAGGAGATACTGACGTTTATTAGTACCGTGAATAAACGTGAGCACCTGGTAGTTAGCATGAGCTAAGCTACCTACAGTGAGAAAAATAAAGCAGACACTCATACTCAATAGAAAATCATCCAGTAGTTTTTCATGAGCAGAGCTAGTTAACGGGGAATAGAAAGAAACAACAGAAACTCAAACTTAATCAAAATAAATCCACACGAAGAACAATTCGAAGATGTTAACTGGCATAAAAAAAATCTCCAAAAAGGAGAAACAGAAGTTTGTTAGCCCCATAAATGGATGTCACCACTTGGTAGTTACAGGGACAGAAATAAAGAACTAAAAGAAATTCATACTTCATCAACAAAAACTCCAAGAAAATAAAAGCCTTGATGTAATGCTTCTAATGTTTCACTGTCATGTGGGAAATGCAGTGCAACGACAACCCAGCAGTCATATCATTAGTACCAAAGAAAACATGGTAAAATAGATACAATTGTAATCAGGATATCCTAAATTACTCAACTCTCTGTGTTTTAAAAAATGAGATGTGCTCTGCGTCTGGATCAAATAGGTACTCGGATTGATTTAAATGCGTAAGGCTCATCCATGTTGTCCCTAAACAGTATCACTATTTTGAGCTTTGGTGTACAGAGGCGGTAATTATAATATTTCCAACTCATGTAATATCCTGCAAATCCTTAATTAGTAGCACACATGTCCTTCTTGAATGTAGTCAAACCTTATTTGTGTGTTATCACAGCAACGCTAATCTAAACTAAGGAGTTACTAGCAGCTGGCTGCCAAACCTTTCCTTTCATACTTCCATAAGCAGAAAAAAATAGCCTTCATTTCCATTACACACAAGACAAGAGCAGATGTGGTTCAGAATACCTGTAATATCCCCATGTTTTCTACATCTTTTTAACTATGGTGTGGGCTCTGACATCAAAATACGACTGCATAAATTTGGTAGCTTGCCAGAAAAACATTTAAGCTTCACGAACATTACATTTAAGGTAAATCAATTACTAACTAAATTTGAATAACCATTAAACTACAGTTTCATTATGTCACCCTCTTACTAAAAGGCAGAGCCACACTTCACTAAGTGCATAATTACCTGGCCAGGGAAAAGGTTTTGTCTTTTTGAAGTATTTTTGAAGCCTTTTCCAGTTTGCGGGCTGCCAAACACCTTAATGTTACATGTGATAAATGGGAATAACTCTTGTCTATCGAATCCAAGCAAGATGTTCATATGTTTTTGGCAGTAATATGAATTTCTATAATAAGTACAACAATCTTTCTCCATTCCCCATCATGTACATCGTACTTAGGCACAACAACAGGTTTATTGACCATAAATGAAAGGCTTTCCTGATCACAGTCAGTGACTATTGGACAACATATTACAGTAATAGATTATGTGTTCCCAGACCGCTTTCCTTTCTAAATTTGTTGAATTCCATGTAAAGTATTTGTCTCTGCTTCTCTCTTTGTCTAGGATCTGCTAGTCGTCGTTGCATGCTGGACAATAATGGAGTTGCTTTCTGGGGTCCTCCGAGCTTCGCCAGATGCGTCTCACTTGAATATAGATATTTACATTTAACTGTAAGTTCCCTTTTTTCACATATACTACATACTCTGAAACTCTTCAGCAAGAAGAAAAAACAAGATGTGTATATTCTTCCATCACTTGAGCCAGTATCACCTTCTATCATAACTCACCTTCATCAAACTTGTCTGTCTCGTTAGTGAATTTATGAGAAAGTGAAGGTTTTTTTCTTTAAAGTTAGTTATGTGCCGTCTTCATTGTCCTTTTTTCACCCATTATGTACCTCTGTTCAACTTCCTTTTGTAAAAGGTTTACTCAAAATAGCACTGTGTCTTTACTCGGGGCTTGACGGTATCTCTAATTAGCTTTTCCAGAGCTTTGTGCTCACACTTTATCAATTAATGAACGTAGCTAATGAATGTGTTCATCAGCCAGACTGTTTTCCCGCTCTGTGAACTTCAACCCCTCTCATCTCCTCGATGATGGCAGAGGGAGATGGGGGTCAGGGATTGTATGCGACGAAGCTGATTGCACTGTTAGCTTCTGTTCCCACCTTTCATTAACACCAGGAGTCAATAATTAATTTTCTGTGATTGCTGTTATCTTCAGTTCTTTCAGTCTCTCTCTCTCTCTCTCGCTCTCTCTCTGAAATTCACATACACACAGTCTTGCTTTCTGTATCTCTGTCTCTGAAGTGATCCAATGAAGTGATCCAATTTCTGCCTGAGAGTGCGGCTAGGCCTCTTTTTGCTCACCTATTTTAAGCACAAGCACAAAAATCCAAACATGTACCTTCTGTATATACTCCTGTCTTGAAACACTCTTTTCAGCTCCCATCCAAAACCTTCCTTTGATTTCTTATAACAACATGATCTTTGCTTTGTTTGGTCTTTCTGTTTATGACATTTGCCAGCTACATATTTTGAATAAGAACACGTGTACTACATACAGTAAGTTCCACAAGCAGAGGTGAAAACCATCAAGTTTTCTCAATGTCTGTCTCTCTCTGCACATTGTAGTTACGAGAGCATCTCGCGAAGGGTCAGAGGACCCTGGCTGGGGAGGGCATGTCTCAGATCGTAAGGACTCTCCTGGAGCTCTTGCAGAGGAGGAGCTACTACAGTGGTGACCTTCTCTTTTCCACGGAGATCCTGCGAAATGTGACGGACACCTTCAAAAGAGCAACCTACATCCCAGCTACCGACGACGTGCAGGTAAGCTGAGCCCCCCTTCAAGTCACAAATCATACTGAAACCGTGGTCAAAGACAAACTGTCACACACAGGTACAGTTGCAACACCTCCAAACTGTTTTCAATGTGGAAGCTCCACTTTCTACTGCATGGGGTTTGCATAACAATGAGCCACTGCAGCTACACAGTTGCTATGGCCTCAAACTGGATTTTTTTTTTAGCAATGTTTTTTCTCCTTTCACTGCCAGTAAGAGTGGAAAATGCTCCTGTCTCAGTCAGTCAGTTGACAGATATTATTTTTTGTTTTCCAATATTTGGCCATAGGCAGACTAAAAGAGATACCAAAATCTAATGGCTCTGCTGCATTAACAACACCTTCATCTCGTGTCTAGAAATTCTTCCAGGTACTCAGCCTCATGTTGGACTTGGAAAATCTAGAGAAATGGGAGGACGCCCACCAGGTGAGGCCTTCTATGTGTGTGTATGTGTGTCCCTGTATGTGTGCCTCTATATATCTCTTTACCACAATCAGTGGCCACCTACTACTGTACCAAGTTTCCTAAATGTGTGTGTGGGTGGGTGTGTGGTTATCAAGTACTTTTTATATGTTAATTTGTGTGGAAAGGTAGGTGTGACTACATCCCACATAAAATTTTCATTAGCCATAAAAACACACCTGTTTACTAAATACAATGGCTACCCATTAATTACACTGAGTGCATGTGTGCACATTTGTGCGTTTTTGTGTGTGACCCAGCTTGATGCCCTTGCCTCAAGGTGTGTTTACTTGCCATCTGGACACAATAAAAGAGTAACCAAATATGAAATTATGTCCCACTTTGTTACAATTTACCACCATGGAACACATTCTAGATAATGCAATGAATGAGCATTTTTCAGTCGGTAAAACATGTCTCATAAAAAGTTTGTGATGGATGATAATTATGATGATGTGATCGATGCTAACCCCCCCCCCCCTCCACAGGTCGCTCCCGGTGCTGCTTTGATAATGAGGATAGTGGAAGATTTCATTCACCTCATTGGAGAAGCACAAAAGCCTTTCCAGAGTTTCCTGGTGGTTACCAACAACCTCAGTAAGGGTCACACAATGCTGCCACATGGCAAGGCATGACAAAGTCAGATACAAGATTGACACCAGTATCAATGTTTATAGACATTCACATATTCAGATAATTCATAGGATGGTCAGAATGTTGTTTAAAAGTTGTACTGTTCTTTATCCTTATATAAGCTCAGCCAAGATAGTTATCTGTCATATTAAAATAACTTCAAAATGATCCATTTTAACATGTCATATAATATAGTGCAGTCTCACTTCCAAAAAAAACTAATTTCTTAAGATGTCTCACCACGGTTTGAATTTTTACTCTGAACATGACTTTCAGGACTTTTTAAGATGTTTTGGCCTGTTGCTTTCATTGTTTTTTTGCTTACCTCATCATTGTTAGTGTTCTTTGCACCTCACTGAGTCTATGTGGTATCTCTTTTTTTGTACAGTGATAACCGTCCAGCGAGAGCCGGTGTCAGCAGTTTCCAGCGATATCAACTTCCCCATGAAGGGCCGGAGAGGGATGAAGGACTGGGCCAGAACAGCAGAGGACAAGCTCTACATCCCTAAAGAGGTCTTCACCATCCCGAATGAAGGTTAGAGAAATAAGACTGCCCGGGGTTTGTCCAAACTTTAAGCTGCTTGGTACCAATCTGTACCACAAAATCTTGTTTTTTCTAGAAAAGTTTGATAGAAGAATAAGGCACAACAAACACATCTCACCATCTGTAACAAAATGAAGCTGATGATGATTTGTAGAGTTCCAGAAGTCTGTTTTGATTCATATATGAGCACTCAGCCTGTAACCAGGGTTTGGTTCTGTTTTAGTTGTCATCCTCACACTCAGTCTTGAATCGTAACATACTGTATGAGAACCCGTTGTCACCCCACTCAACCCTCTCACCAGCCAAGGTCAGACCAAAAGGTTATCCCAGTGTGAATTCCACACTCAGAGAGGTGTCCTCATGGAAGCAGATAGAAAGCTTCTCAAGGATGTCGAAGGGTAATGCTGAGAAGAATTTGGACTGCAAAGACGCCCTGGAGGGCTTCTCAAAAATATGCAGGTCTTTCATCTGTGAGGAAGTATGTCACATCCCCTTGAAAGGATCAAGTCCTCATACAGTTTTTGAGGATGTCGCTTCGCTTTTAGCAACACAACAAAGCTAACTGCTGTTAGTCTTCACTACTGGGGATTTCTTTCCATGTGGTTTCAAGTAAAGCCAAGAGACAAGCAAAGTGATTGTCCAAACACCCACCAGACGGTGGAGATGAGCATAAAGAGAAAGAAGACACCAGGAAGCCGGAGAGCGGGGTTGTTCAGGGGAGACAAATGGACTTAAAAGAGTGGGAAGAAAGTGGTTTGTATTTGATAAGAGAATTGCTGCGGCAGATGCGATCCACTACTGACAAAGGCAAAGGTCACTACCCACTGGAAATTACACTGGCAGATATCCTGTCTGGCACCCTGCCCCTTGCCCAAATTAAAGTTCAGAGAGGCTGCAGGCCGAGAGAGCAGAGCTGTCTTTGACCTCCGACTTGCTCTGAAGACGCAGACTCTCTTTGATTGGCGTTCAAGACATCCTTTGCGCTAACCTCCGGGCACCTCACCTCGGCTCACTTACTCTCTCTGTCTCTTTATATCGCACGATGTAATATGCTTATATTGTGCTCCTCTTCCATCTAACCATTCATCTCACTTTTATGAAATGGAACGGGTTTATGTGTTGCCGTGGGTTGTTTTTCCAGATTTTATGGAACAGCAAATTCAGATATCTCAAAGGATGAATGTTAGGCTGCAAGTGGAGACAAAGGGTGTATAAAAGCTAGACCGTGTTTAATGCTGCTGCATTGCAATGTAGTCTTTTTTCTTCTTCTACATGTATCCTGCCTTTCTGTTTTACTTTACTACTGTTGTGCTTTTTCCTCCATCTCATTTTGTTTGTTCATTTTCCTGTTTGTGGTGGTTAATGTTTTGTCTCCTGCTGTGCTTGTAGCTCAATACAAGTGACCGGCTGCATAAAATGTCCTCTGCTATTTACTCATATGATATTCTATTCAGCACATGCCATTGCCATTTTAGCATATGCTATTTGGTAAATTGTTTCATCCAAGCTACATGTTGTTGTTGTTATGGCATTAGTTCTCTTTGTGGGAACTATACCTTTTCCCATGGCAGTCCATTGGGATCTTCAGCTGATTGCTATCAGGTTGATTGGTTCATTTACCCCATAATGAAAGCCTATCTCCGATGGACAGCTTAACTATGTTCATAAAGGCCCTTTGGCACTTTTGTGTGTGCACGTGCGCACACAGTTGCACATGCACAGAGCCAATTGATAGGTTCATGAATCGCTTCACTGGGCAGAGGCCGGGACTCTTCTTCACTGATTTTCGAAGTGACAAACTCCCTCTCTCCGCTGTGTCTCTCTTACTCACACACTCTCACTGTCTTGCAGTCATGCACACCCATACATCCAAACATACAATGACCTCATATTTCAAATACACCATTGCCGGTACACGCATGCGGTTATGCTCCGTTAACTTTGAAGTATTACTCGAGCACGAACCACATGAACTCTACTCTCTATACTGTGTTAGAGACTGACTAACCTATTTGCAGTTTTAACTGTAACTGTGTTGACTTTCAAAATATTACCAGTGAGCATGGAACTTGTGGATTGCTGCTGACGTAAAAGTCGTATATCTGATCGGAATAGTTTGACATTTTAGGGTAAGGTTCAATTTGTTCTTTTGACCAAGATGAGATGAGACGATTGATGCCACTTTCAGTTCTCTCTATTAAGCACGGAGTGACACCCAAAGGGTGAAATAGCTTAGCTCAGCTTAAACACTGGTGGCTGGGGCAGCTAGCCAAACAGCTAGCTTGGCTCTCTTTAAATCGAAGCTATACCCTCCAGTACATCTAACTAATTACTAATCAACACGTAGCTCATTTGATTAATCCATACACAAACAGAATTCTTGGAGTGACAATTTGGCAACTTCACAAGGACAGGACAAGACTACAGGAAATCACTGTATCGAGCGTTTGGTATCCAAGAAATACTTAAAACATATAAGTTCCCGCCTTCTGTTTGTGCAGTAGACACGGTGTGTAGCTATGGAGGTGTTGGTAAGCATGTTTTTGAACTTTGTAAGGAGACACCATTAACACCAGCTTCCTATCTAACTAAGCTAATGACCTCCTGGTTCCAACTCCACACATTACACACAGACATGCAAGGTCTATTGATCTTCTCATTTACCTTTCGGCAACGAAACAAGTAGGTGTGTTTTCTATTTATTTAAGAATCAACAGCTTGACCAGTTTGGTAAAAGACATGGTATTGGTATTGAGTAATAGGTTCTATAGGGTATTTTATGGCAATTCATGAAATCACTGACCCTCAAAAGGTAGCATTGTAGTCAATTCATTTTTCTGAGCTTGCGCACATTACCCACTCAGTCTGTTCAACTGTGTGAAAGTAATGATATTCCACAGTACTCTCATTTCTTGAAATTGTCTGTGATATGTACAAAAGTGAAATAAAGCAAACATAGAGAGGAAAGAAGCCAGGAAAGAATGAAAAGAGTAACTCAGATGGAACTGTTTGGATGGAGCTTTCGATCTTTGATTAAAACCATAGATCATGGCTTTGCATCAGCTCCAAACATATCTTTTCCTGACAAATGGCACATTAAAGTTCACAGCTGGTGACTGGTGGTTTACCATTTTGCTGGATTACAGCTGACCACCAATCATTTAGTTGTTCAGCGGGCGCAGAGTGACAAAAAGTCTGTTCATGGGAAATTAGGATTTGGTGATTGAGTGCTTTTGTGGTATTAATCATCCTCTTGCGTGGGAGTGCCACCCCATCATGCAGTGATTTACCATTTACCCACAATACACTGACTTTCTCATTTGCATGCCTTTGCAGACACTGTCCAATTAGGATCCATCACACTCACAGGCTTTCTCATGCTGACTTTGATCTGTTTTTTGCCTTCTCACATTCTCACAATTGCTTCCCCCCCACTGTTGAGATCTTTTTGTCTCTCCCTTTTTTGCTCCTCGTCTGTCTTGCATAGCTATCTCACTTTGAGTATTACCTCTTCAGCAGACAGACAGATTTTGGATGAGTCACCCTGTTCGTCTGATACCATCAGCCCCCTCTGTCTCTTCCTCTCTCGCTCTCTGTGCCAATGCTCCTCCGTCGCTTCTCTCAGCCTGAAAGGGCAAAGGAGGGAGTGGCGTCTCTCAACATGAACTCTTCCCCTTCCACTTTTCCTCCCTGCTTCCTTTGGCTTCCCTCACTTGAGACAAAGTGACATTTACAGAGGGACACCACGTCTCCTTGGGAGCCCCTTTTCTTTTGGAATGCAGGGCTGTGGAAAATTTGAAGAGTGGGTTGGAGAATGGCAACAACAACAGGCGAGGATGCGAGGGGCAAGCACTGAGGAGGAGGAAAGAAAGAAGGGGGATTTGAAACGAGTGAAAAAAAGAGATGAAGATGTTGTCTAAAGAGGGTGTGGACACTTTTGGCTTTACTGAGAGAATTTTCCGAATAATGGAGTTAGTTTTAGAAATGATGCTTCTGCTGAGTAATGGTTGAGCTGCTAATAAGCAAATAAATTGACACAAATTGTGCCTCCACCCACGCAGAGTGTGAAACCAAGATCTTGCACTTGATAAAGTGGAACATTTTCAACTCAGAAGTTTGAGTATGGAATATGTAGCTGTCATATCAGGGGCTGCAATTAACTCACATTTCCTATTTTGATGTAGTCAACAGAGCGTTTGTTAGCGACAGCTCAAGAGTTAATGAAGATGAAATTGTGGGATAAAGAGACAGATGAAATATCTGCTTGTTTGCTTCACCAACTAATAGATGAATTTGTACTTAGTTGATTTACATCAAATGACATACTTATCAATGCAGGTTATTAAAATCAATCACAAATACCAACACTCTCCAACCTCTAATTTAAATGTCAGATTCGCAGCTTTGATATTGAATGTAATTTCCTATATCTTCCCAGTCAACATACGACCAAATTTGTTATATTCTTATTGATATTTTAAATATTGATTTGCTGCAATGAGCCATTAATCTGCCACAAGACTTTAGAAAGTCCTCCCACAGATCTCTAGCTGTACTTATACAAGGGCTGTAGAAGAAGAATAAATTAACTGATGGACAGATTTATACTTGATTTTGAAGATGATTTAGGTAAACCATGCCATCTATTTAGGCTGATTGGTCACAATTTGTCCTGTGTTTCAGAGACGGAGACGGAGTCAGAGTCAGAGTCAGAGTCTACAATGTACTATGTAATCGGAGCCATCTTGTACAGGACGTTGGGTGTCATCTTACCAGCACCAAAGTGAGTACTTTTCATGTCAACTGACTAAATATTCTTACTTTTTTCAAACATTTCCCACCTTCTACTCCTTTCCCTGTCCTTTCGTTTACCTTTCTGCATCTCTTTTTGTCAATACTTTCTCCAACAACTTTCAATCTCCTTATTTTTTTTCTCAGTACCTTTCTATTTCTGTGCCCTTTCATCTGTCGCTCATTCTCTCTGTCTAATTCCAACTTCCAATTCTACATCTGTTTTCTCTCTCATGATGTCTCTATTGCTTCTCTCCTCTCCTTGTGTCTGCCTAGTTTTCAGACAAATGTCTTGGATCTCCCAAAAAGTACATTTCCCTAGATGTTTTTCCCTTTCTTTTGCATTGTCAATGTATTTTTGGAAGTGTACAGTGGGCTTCTAATGGGTGCTGGCCTAATGGGTTCTGAAACTTGTATAGAACTTGCAAAAATAGAAGATAGGAGGAGATCAGGAGGTTGTCAAAAGGCCACTGTGATATGGTGTTTGTGCTGGCCCTGGGCCCTTTTTTTCAGGTCAGTGCTCTTGGTTGTGGATGAGCTGGATCTGTTAAAACCCTTTTCTCCCTGTAGCTCTGCTGAATTTCAATAGGTCCATTGTTCCATTTTTACTTAGGCGCTAGCTCTGGCTTTCTCCCTTTCTCATTAGGCTTTTATTTCTCTGTTTTTTTTATTTACTTATTTTTATTTTATTTATGTATATATTTTTGCAAACGCACTCAAAAACCATCAAAAGCATAGCAGGTTACTTGGTATGTCTGTTTCTGAGTATCTTCAGATGTATGCATGTGTTTGTGTGTATGGCAAACAGCATTGGAAAGCAACTCAGCAGTATTTTTCTTTTCTTGTCACTTACTTTCAGAGCAACTGTTCGAGCCAAAGTTGAATGCGCAGTACAGTTCTTAAAAAAATAACACTCTTTGGTATGTGACTGTGTGTGTCTTTGCAGCCCCCCTGCAGTGATCAACTCCAAGATCCTTACAGTGACAATACGGCCAGAACCTGAACCCAGCAAGCCCATGGTGGTGGTGGAGCTGTCACCACTTTTGAATGTAAGTTCTTTCCTCTCTTTTAAATGTATCTCTCATTTTCCCCAGCCATAAGAGCCACACTGCTTTAGAAGTTTTCAAGCAATACAAAACGGTGGCTGGTCATGGCTCTTCAAGATCTAGATCATTTCAAGAAAGTGTATGTGAGAGTGCAGATTTTTCACTTTCATCCTCTAAACTTCCCCAACCACCAGAAAAATTACACTTATTTTCTCATTAACATCAAAGTATTGCAGCCAACATAGTAAGTTAGTCCATATAAGGCACTTCCTAAAGAATTGGCTTGCAATTTTTTTTTATTTGTCTATTAAGCAACCTTGGCTGAAAAAACATTTTTTATCCAAGGCCTTAAAGGATTCCTTTCTTCCCAGCTGGCCCATGTTTCCTGAGTTCAGAATAAAGAGAAAGTGCTGCATGCTATAAAGTGCCATGGTGCTGGTTGAATTGCCTGAGTAAATGCAGACCTTTTTTGACTTCCTTATATCGTAGCGTCTCCTGGTGCCTATTCAGTTTATATTACAGTGGAGTGTGTTCTTATAAACGACTCGTGTGGTGTCGTCAGTGAAAAGGACTAAGTGCAAGTTTAATGAGAGGCACTCTTCATGACCTCAATGAGATGTAGGATTCATTAGCCATTCTTCTGTGCAAAGGTGGGCACAGTTTTGAAAATAATGTTGAATATTTAATGTTTCTCCAGACGACGAAAACACACACAGTAAAATCTTCCAATGAAATCAGTTTCTTGCTGTGTCAACCAGGACCTGAGGGTCAAAATGATTGCCGAATGTTTCATTATAAAGACTTTGTATTCATTCTTTATCCCCCGCCACTCCAACTCCCTGCTTTAAACCACTGATTAATTACTTAATTATGGCATTTCCTTTATACGCCTCTATCTTTTATCTCCCTATTATTCAGCTTTTTAACACTTTTGGCAAAGCAGTGGTACTGCAGGTTTCACACCCGCTGTCTAGAGGATGATGTCTTAATACTGATCCAAGCATGCTGCTCTGGACTGATAACCCGAGGCACCCGCTGAGGACCGACACTTGTCTCACACAGTACAGTACTGGGCTGGGATGCACATATGCATACCTCAGAAAAGTGCTTAAAGGGACATTATTTAGCATTATACTTCCCAACATTTTGGAGATTCACAAGAGATAAAAAAGATGGTGACATTGGATGCAGCAGAGGCTGAGATATCCTGACTTTCAATGTTTTTGTATGGGTCAAGTACCAGACATGCTCAGTCCTATTATTTACCATAAAGCACCTGAATAGTGTGTTTCATTAAAGGCGTCCAGCCTGGAAAATGATCACATCTTTTACACTCCATATCCCCATTTTATAATAAAGGCTATAAATAATGTCTCAAATACAAGGAAGAAGTTAATCTACAGCATAACCAACCTCAAGAGAGGATGTGATATAGAAAATGAATTAATACTACATTCGAAAATTGCGATATATCTCTTCCATATAACAAATGAAATTATATTGCAGTGGAAAAGTGGTTAGCACAATATTCATTTGGTTTAATTTGAAATGCAACCAGTACTCATTTACATGATTGCTGGATGTTAATTAGGGTTTTAGCAACTCCTAAAAGCAAAATAAATTGCAGGAAAATTATGTTTTTTAGCCAGCTAGCCGGCTGTTGGCTAGCTGGCTCTGCCTGCAGGTAATACAATCCGTGTACAGTACCTCTAAAGGTAAAGGTTATTCCTCAGTCTTTATGCTAGGCTAAGACAATAGGCTGCTGGCTGTAGTTTCTTATTTAATGGAAGGGTATTAGAGGTATCGGTCATTTCTTCTAACTCTTGGAGGGACAGAAAGTAACAAAAAAAGATGTATAACTATCCCTTTAAAACATTATACATTATCTCCATTCAAGATATAACCATCTAAACTGCAAAGTTACAGTTGGTGAAACTACTGTAAGTGCACACACAAATATTTGAATTCAAAGGCAGTGTTAACATAAGTCAATCATTTCTCAGCCCGGCCTGAACTTTATTCGGCAGAAAATGCTGATGGGAACCAGCGAAGGCAAGGGAATGAAAGGGAGAGCAGAGTCTCCTGTCATGGTCTTCAGCTGCAGTGCTGTAGATGTCGACCTTGGCAGTTGTAGAAACACCTACTGCAGCAGTGCCGGGGCAACAGCTGCCCCAGGCTTCCCTCTCAAAGGGGGGTGTTCTGTAGGGTCTGCACGGTCATGTCTTCACTGAGAGGACATCTGCTCCAGACTCCTCACATATTTCCGTTGTCAAAGTGTGCATGTGTGTGTGTGTGTGTATGCAGGAGGCTATGAAAACTCCATGTCCTTACAGTAGACCAGTAGACCCACTCCCCCTCCTCTAGCTGTCCTTCAGTTAGCCGTTTCATTTCTGCAAGGCAGCTCTGGTTTTAGAACATCAGCCATAAACCTTTCGGGTAATTTCACTCTAATCTAGTTTACTTTCATCAGTCAAAAAGCATAATCGACATTACTCCATTTTATTTTCTGAATCTGTAATACCTGATATAAAGTAGAAGGGCGTTTAAGACCAGTGTGGCCTGTTGCAGTATCTAATTTCATCTGATTAGCCGACCATTTTCACAGCCAATATGCATTAAGCAATTTACCGCCAAATGGTAGACCACTTTGTGAATACGTTGAAGAAAATGGATCTTCCTTTACAAAAAAGCAGGAGAGCTGTTAAGGTTTTCGCCATTATTACTGTCCATAAATGCAGCTGTTAGAATCAGACACACGTAACTCCCTTTGAGGAGCATCAGTAGAGCAGGTGCTGTCATTGTGCAACGAATCGTCCCTAAAGAGGAGGCAGACATTGTGGGAGTACACAGGTGTCACTCCCGCTGCAGCATACAGTCAGGCATGATGCGTGCTGATTGATAGTTGAATGCTAACAGAGCCCGCCACGCTAATGCACGCCCAGGGACATCTTTTGGTGGCGGCGGTCGGCGCGGGAGGCAGAACAAAGCTCTGTCATCCATCAATCTGTGTCGCCTAGCCTCTGATCCTGTGTACATAAACCTTGCATCATCCCTTCCTCTTAATTTCAGCCATGCAGAGACCCCAGGATTCACGGATTCATGGGAGATCAGTCATGAACTATTCAGGGAAGGAGGGGTGACCTTGCCTTTAGAGAAATAAATCCTCGTAGTGTAGACCTGAATGTGCATCACCTCCTCCTCTCCCTTTTTGGTTATTTAAAATGCTGTTGATATTGGGGGGAAAAAAATGTAACCTTCACTCAAGAAGAGGTGATTTTTTTCTCTACTTATAGGGGACTTTTTTTCCTGAACAGAACAGTGTGACTGTGGAATTACTGCTATAATATCCTGTACCATAAGAGGGAGCTCAAAGGCAAAGGGCTTAATGTAGGACTCAGGATGGACCAACAGACTAGTACAGAGAGGGATCCATTTTCCTCTGCATCAGTGGAAGAATGGTATCTGATCTAGTTACAGATCACTCAGATCAGTCTTACTGTAAAGCGCAGAGAAAAGGTATTGGATAGCTATACTTGTAATGCTTTTGATTCAGTAATGATCCAGACCAGCAACCAAGAAAGTTTAACTAAAACCAATTTCAATCCAATCCTTACCAAATGAGGCGTGCAGGTTAAAAGGGCACAGACAATTCTTTAAAGGCAATCAATGCAGAGACCACTGAGGATCGCCAGTGGAACAAGTTGTGATGAGTCAGTTAAAGATATTGATCCCGTGATTGATTCACTGATTGAGTCATAGGGAGTCTTCCTTCTCCACCATGTGTGACTGAGCTTTGATCACCAGATGATTCACCTGCCTCTCGACACCCCCAACCATTGACTTTTGACTCCAGCGAGTAGATAGATTAAGAGTGAGCTGGATAGCAAATCACCAGCATTCAGACTGCTGTGACGGGTTGTGCGACTTTATTTTATGTGTTTTAAAAATACATACACACGAGGATGTTTAGAAATACAGAATGTATTAAGTACTTTATTTGACTTAGGTGAATCTTAACACATTCCGAAAGGTCCAGTTCTTCACAATAAGTATGTGTTGTACTGAAGTACATTTTACTGCGTCGTAGTTGTTTACTTTTACTTTACTACTTCTCACTGTGGTTGTACTTAAGTAAATAATTCAAATGATTTTCCACTGCTGGTCGTTATGTTATGTTTATGACCCCAACTTGCTGTGTAATATTGTCCATGAAATGCCTTCTTCTTTTGTCTCTCAATTCCTTCAATTCATTGCTCATAAACCTCCTTCTTTTTGCAGCAGCAGCTATCCCCCCCTCCACCGTCCGTCTCAATCGGTCTCTTTCATTGTTTGTTTACCTCTCTCCATCGCCCATGCAGCATCACTCTTTCTCCTCTGGCAACTTGCTATTCTGTCTTCGCTCTGCCTCCATCTCTCACTCATTCTCTCGACTGGCAATAACAGCTTATCCCCCCCCCCCCTCTTCTTCTTCTGTATTTTACAGGGTACATCAGATCCACAGTGCGTTGTCTGGGACTATGGCAACCCGTAAGTTACTCTGAATGATTCTGATGAGTGCGTGTGAGAGTGTGCAGCGCAGTAAAGCATGTCTGTCAGTGTGTGTGCCTTGATGTTTATCTTGTGTGTGCTCATGCCCATTCAGATTAATTTCATTAATGAACTGAAAACAGTCTAATGAAGTTCCCTGTGTTTGTGTTAATCAAACTAGTCAATGACAACAAACACCATTCTCTCTGAGTTGCTAAGAATTCACAAGTAACATCACTTGGAACTGCTCCCTGGAAATCCCTTGTTTTGCGGTCCTCTTCGATGTTTACTTTGACTTATATGTTAGATGTTTAATTTGCAATTCTGAACTGTAAACATTAGGCTGAATTTATTGTGACACCAGTGACCCTGAAGCCTTTTTGTTAACCGAATGGGTTTTTCTCTCATTTGTCTATATAGGCCACTGACTCGTTGATATTGATGTATGTGGATTATGTAGTGAACTACAAAATGTAAACCAGCACAATTGATCATGCTGTTTTAACCATTAACCCACATAGTGATTACTCTTTTTGTCAATAACAAAGTCAAACATGCTCAGGACCATTAACCCTGGGTTTGGTACTCTACCAGGTCATGGTCTCATTGCACTTTCACTACTAGGCCATTATGTTTGAATAGCCCATATCTTCTATCCACGACAGAATTAATGAACAAATGCAACTCGGTATCCTAAAAATACAATAATATATCATTAACTTTGGAGTAAATGGATGGCTTTCATTGGTGAGTTTTTTTTTTTGACGATGCCATGGTGGGTAAGGTCAGCACTGGAGCTACGGCATACTGTATGAAGCACCACACATGTTGTTAGGTTCTGGACACTCACACACTGAAGAAAAGATCATGATTTTGGTTAAATATTAAGTTCTAACACATCTGGTCTCATGCTTCAAGTCAGCATTTGCTTTTTCAATATATAATTATAAGCAAGTGCTTTGAGTTGCTTGAATATTACCATGAAGTGTTACCTGGACAGGATATCGTTGGGACAATTTATTGAATATCTTGACAGCGGGTGACACTTTGTGTAGGCAGTGAACGCTTTATACTTACGTAAAAGTGTGTGATGAGCTTTTGAGCCTGTCACATGGTCTTCATCAGCAGATACATTTTGCTCAGTATTGTCTGTATTATTATTCTGAGCACTTTTAAGACTTCTCCATGATAAGTGAGCAAAGAGTGTATGTGGATGAAGACTGTGTGAAATGGTTAACATCTCCAAATAAGTGAGTAAATTGACATTAAGTGGAGATTGAAGTGTTGCATTGTTTGGTTGATTCTGTGGCATTCATTTCCTCTAGATTGTATTCGCTGATTCAGATTAATCTCGCGTCATTTTTAAGAGCCAGATTTGACAGATTAATCTTCGACAGAGCAAATGACTTTCATATAAGATTTGAATTTGTCATCACAGTGGGCCTCCCTGTCCACTGTGACGACAAGGGGGATGACAGAAAATTCTGGTCAGCTCAGATTCCCCCTCGAGATTACATTATAGGTTATCTAGTTATCAAGAGGCGTACGCTCCAGTGACCGAAGCACACAGTGGGACCGCAGGTTCACAGGAGTGTGTTGGACATTTTGTAACTTATCAAACTACCCCTTTCCGTCAGGGTAGAAGAGGAACAAAGCTCGGCAAAGTCAATTAACTAGCCGGCAGATTACAGCTGCAATCAAATTAAATTCACAGACGTTCGAAATCAGACAGCCAAACAGAATATAAAGTGGCAAGATGGCGGTGATGTCTATCAAGCAAAGATATACTCAAACTTGGTGGAATGTGGAAAACATCCAAATGTGTTTGCCGGGGATAAGGTAATATGTTTGCAGTCACGCACAGTGGGGAGCGCACACAGAGGCTTTGACACACAAACACACAAGCTTACCAAGATAGTTAATGTGACGCAAGCAACAAAACAAGAACGCTCCAGTTATAATAACTGATTATTTCTGTCTATAGTAACTGATTCCGTCTTAACCAGCCAGGAGCATCATTGAGCAGAAAGTCTGTCTATTTTTTAAAGCGTCAGTCAGCTATTCCTGCTCTTTCAAACTGACAAGGAAATACATGATGTCCATTGGTTGTTTACATTTCAGCTATGCAGAGACTTGACCGTTTTCATTATAAACAGCCTTCGGTCATAACAACATGCTGTTCTGGTGCACAGATGCTGTTTGGAGAGGCTGCGATGCTGTGATGCTGTGAAGCAAAGCCAGCTGGTGCGCGTCAATTAAATATGGTGGTCACATATGGAATGTATCATCTATACATTTATGTATTTACCTTATGTACAGCATGGGTACCTAAGCACATACAAGGACAGGAACGGACATCGATGTGGCATGTATACACCAAGGACTGTACAGTGTTAGTGTTTTGATAATCCTCCACTCGCCTGTCTGTGCCGGGAAGCAGATCTTGACTGGTGCTAGGCGGGGAGCGTGCACTTGATATGGGCAGAGAACATGTTGTACAAAGCAGCCGTTTGTTTGCTGGAGGATATCACCTCTCTCAACCTGGCTGTCTCTCCAACTGAGCCACAGGCTTTGAGGTTGAGCCGGAGGCAGACAAGAGATGGCGAATGTATAGATAGCAATGTGGCGGAAGGGCAAACACGGCAGCAGACGAACCAGACAGCAGGGGAAAAGTTCAGCTCGGAGACGGAAATAACTTTCAATCTATAACCTGTAATTGCAGACTATATTTAGGGCACACAGATGCACCCACGTTCAACAAAACGATCATACACTGCATGTGTATCTTTCCCCCTTAATTGTTGTAATGCACACATGGGTAATGTATACTTACTTAGAGCTCAGAGGCTCACATCTCTAAAGCCTACTGTCATCCTAGACAAATGTCAATGTGCATGTTTTTCAGCAGTCGTGGTCTATTTAGAAATCTGCAAGCAATTTCAGTGGTAGCTCCTTAACATTTGCGGTCTCTCTCAGCTGGCTAAGTTGGCCAACAGTTTGTGGCACTCACAGTTCATCTCAGTATTTATGTGTGAGTCTTTATTTATTTATTTTGCCCCTAACAGTCCCATATGTCGGCACCATCTGCCCACCCAAATCGCTGTGCTCGTCATCCCTTCCTCTCTTCCCCCATGTGCCCGTCTCCTCAACCTAATCTCATTCATTTGCCTTGACGACTCGAATAGACACTGTTATGTTTAGCTCGCATCAAAGTTTTACAAGGTTGGAAACTGGGAGATCAGGTTAGTTGAAGCAAAGAGGCGAGATGTTCACTATTTCAGATAATGTTTGGAGAAAATCCCTTGTCTACCTTGAATCATCACTGAGTTATCTCCCCAAAGTCTTTCTCCTTGATTTTTCCGCTTTCTTTCACTAACTCTTCCATGGTAAATGATGATGTTCAGCCCCTCTTTTCTATGTGGTTGCTGACCTTGCCTCTGGCTTCTCCATGCTTTGACCCTCACTCTGCCTCAGTGTGGGATATCTGGCTAAAGCCCCACTGACGTACACACTAGAGTGCATAGTGCAGCACTTGTGTATTTTATGCCCAATGCATTACAGATTGGCTCCATTAGATTGTATATGTGCCACTCCAGATGTGTCACTGATTCGATAGCTGCTGCATTTCAGTCAGAACAAATTGCCTTTTTGCTGCCAACTTTAAAATATACATGGTAATACATCATATTTTTACTGTCTAATAAGCAGAGTAGCAACATACTCTCATACGAATGACAAAGCTCAAATGTATTACAGGCGGGCCAAAGAGCAATCTTAATTTAAAGCGTGCTTTAAAAAAATTGACCCAGTAGTTAGAGATGAATGCAATATACACTTTAGATTAGTGGTTCTCAACTGGTCTGGCTGCGGGACCCACCACCACCCCTTAATGACATGCCGCGAGCGAAATCGAGGAACATTTTCAACTTCTTAAAATGTATTTAATGAAAAGATGGTGCAGTTTGAACCTGAGCTGAAAATGTCCTCTGCAGTCGTAGTATAGGGAGCTCTCTTGTGCAGAGAAATTGTTCCTGTAAGTCCCCGTCCCACACATGTTTCACGTAAACGAGTAAAACTGTTTTGTTTATGTCTGTAGATTCATCCATTTGTAATGCAAAATGACCACTCGCCTTAATTTGAGCTGTGGTCTGTTGTTTGATGTCATCCGACATGTCTTCAATTTGTCTACTTATAGTGTCATTTGACACACGTATAGTTTTCAGTTTATCCTCTGCTGATATTAGCATTACAAGGCATTAACGCCAAATATTATTGAGGAGTGTGAATAAACGGTACTCCGCTGCATAAAAAATCCCCTTCAAAATAAAAGCACATGATTTTTTTAGTTATATATATATTTTTTTTTTTCAGCCACAATCCCACCACCCACTGAAAACGGGTCCGCGACCCACCAGTTGAGAGTCACTGCTTTAGATGGATGACAGTAAGATTATGAAGGGTTGAGGGTCACCTAATCCTATTTCTAATCCCCAGTGGTCTTCAGCTTGATCGGGGATCAGTGGTTAAAGACCAAGGCACCCCACCCTGCCCCCACTGCCCATCACTGCCATAGAGTATGAATGGCCTGGTGAGCAGCACAAGTAGCTCTAACATCCTCAATCTGACACGGTAGATTGAGGCTTGCTTTGGGCTCAGATTGATCTGGCACCGCTATCAGCTTTGGCACTGGCAGGTCTCAACCTTTAATGAAGTAAAAAGTCAAAGGCATATTCTGCACACTGCCAAACACTAGCTGGACACAAATCTGGCCAAAATGTCAAAATGACCGCAAGTGATAAGCAGTTTTGACCATTGTTTCCAAACAAATTAGGAATTGCTCCTCTTGATTGCACACGTAGGTAAGACAATTGCATGCATGCATGTATTTATGTATAGAAACTATAGCTTAAAAAATGACAACTGAGTGTGTTTTGTTGGTAGTACAGTTAGTTAGCTTTTGGCAGCCAACAGAGCTAACAGCTAACAGAACTAAACACACA